TATTATCTCTTTAGGTAGAAATAATGAGATATTGACTATTGGATGTGATAAGAAAAGGAAGGAAATTTATGGTTACAAGCACCAAAATATACATAATTATAAGATTCAATAGATAATTTCATTTTAGCATCGAAAAAAAATCTCCAAATAGAATTTGTTATATTTAACTTCAAACCATAACCCTTCTGTAACATTTCAAAAACCAAAACAGAAGGATAGCATGTCCAAAGTTTGAATTCACTTCAGTATGATTAATTTTCAGAAAATCAAACAAGATTAAATTATCTATAATTCATGCAAATCGCTGGTCTCTTACAAAACAGCTACTACTACTGCTGATATGCAAGAACATGTAGATTTACATGGTAAAATTTTTAATCTACATGCCGAACAAAATGAAACCAAAACAACAAAAATTTAATTCAACGAAAAATAAATCAAATTGTACCTTCCTCAAACTGGGAACATAAAATTACAAATACATTAACAGAGTTCCTTGTTCATGATGGTAGAACATTTGAAGTCATTAATGGTTCCAGTTTTATTTATCTCATCGAATGCATTCTTGATGTTGGTCATACTTTACTAGGATCATCTACTGGTTGTGCAACTGATTTAATTGATGATTCACGAACGATAAAATTCAAATTCTTTCTGCTTATTTGATCCAGTTTTTTTTTTGTTTTTAGATAAGTTGTGATGTAAATAAACTTTATGAACAACGCAAATCTCAATGAATAAGTTTATGCCAAAAATCAAATCTTTTGTTGTCACAGCTAATTTTTAGAGCAAAAGTTTGTAGTATTGTGCATGAATGGGTGTTGTATTGATTATATTTGTTTGTTTTGAATTAAAGAAATTAAATTAGATTTGATACATATTGAAAGAGTAACAAATATGATATTAAATATACAATTCTCTAATGAAATTAAAAGATAGTTGTCAGATAGGTACATGAAAGTTTATCATGATTGATCGTGACTCGTCGTGACCTAGGTCTAGTTATGAACAAGGACAGCAAATCTATGAAAGAACTAGTCATGGTCACGACAGCGACAGTAACCTATGATGATCGTGACTGGCGGCAATCACACCGATGTCTATAGTAACAATATGGCGACTATAAACACTGTTCGGGTAATATCATAAAGCATCGTATGGGTCAATTGTAAACGGTTTAATTAACAATCATCGTTTTCTATCGTGCGTCATGGTAAGCAGTCGTTAACGTTGGCGACTTGCTCTCATTGAGTATAAGTAATATGTACTCATGATCAACTATAGACGTCGCTATGTAACAATACTTGTTTATCAACGAAGTCAAGAGACAGTCATGAGTTGTACTTGACACAATATTTATACTGCAGTTGATACAAGCAATTGAGAACAGCCTGATTTTTATCTGATTTTTAATTAAAGAGAAGAAAAAAAACGACATTAATAGTTTTTTCCTGCAAACACACTTAGAATGTGTAAGCACAGAAGTCATGTCGAGCGCTACTAAGTCAATTCGAATAAGACATATCTGCATTTTTCCTATACACCGGCAGATGAGCTCCTGACAGTTGAACCCTGGTAAATGAGCCTCTAACAGTTGAGCTTTCAACATCAAAACTCTCATTACTTGAATCTAGGATAGACAGGTAATTAAAAAATACAAGAAACTAATTTTTGTGAATAAATTCACATTGACATCAAAAATTGAAATAGAGCTATTACTCGTTTGAAGTACAAGTCTCTTGCTATTAAGCGAAAAACCGAAACTAGTTGTTGTAATTTTTCATCGAGAGGTTCATATTTGACACGTTTCTTTTATTTTGAGTGTAGATATGAGCGTTCGTTTTCTCTTAATTTACGGTCATATTCTTCTGAAGGTTGTTATCGAGCTATTAAAGTATTGTCAACTCCTTATGTATTTTCGTCGATACAATAACTCATCTATCTCTGGTCAGAATTCAGCACGAGAAAATCCATAAACTTATGAATGTATCAAAGATTTGAAAATGGAACAGTATGCGAACTTGATAATGGTTGAACAATTACAAACAGGACTTGTGAAACTAATGAAAGATGCAAAATATAAACTTTTGGATGAATAATTACAACAACTAGTTTCTTCTTTTCATTTGATAACAAGAGACATATACTTCAAACGATCAAGGACTCTAGTCAAGTTTTGATGTGAATTTGAATTTATTCAGATAAAATTATTTTCTTGCACTTTTTAATCTCTTGTTTGTGTCAGACTCAAGTGCCAGGAGGCTCATCTGTTGTGTGATCATATTTTTCTATGATGTCTACTAAGAAAAAAACGTGACTTTTCATACAAATAAGTAGACTCAATAGTAAGCGTCCAAGTGAATCAAATTATGTAATCGTTGCTTGATATACTTCAACAGATCAACTAAGCTAAGGTACAAACTTAAATTGTTTAAAAAACTCTCAACAAAGATTTCGATCTTGTTGTCTTCTCCGTCATTTTTGAAACAAATTCTAGCAAGAACATCATCTATCACGACTTCAAAGATGAAAGTGAAGTTTTAATTAAGCCTTATCATACCTTATAATCTACTATTTATACAATATTCTTCTTACAAATAAAACAAGCCTAAAGATATTTTTTTTCTTCAATTATGCTGAATACTAATAGTTCTTAGCCATAGATACGCTATTATTAGTACTCAGCAAAGATTTCCTAGATTTTTGAAGATCTTATTCATGAAAGCTACCTTATTTAAAGTCACTTTCAGATAGAAACATATGCCTAAAAGGAGAAGGACTATTTTTTAACAATATTCCTATTCTAAGTATTTTTCAAAGCTGAAACTGCTCATTTGGTAGAAAAAGATCTTTAAAGACTTTTTTTGAAAACTTTTAAATAAGACGATTTTTTATCTAGACGAGTGGATTTCAATGAAATAAGGCATTTCAAGGTCTTTCCTTAAGCATCACCTTTGTATAAGATGAATGTTACTGGATAAAGACGGATTTCTATGAGATAAAGCCTTGTTTGGATACGCATCATTTCTATTTTGTTTCTTGTCGAATCCAGAATACGAATTTATCAATTTGGACGATGGCAAGAGGTAAGGTCTCAGTCATGTGTGCTCTTTTTTTTATTTACACTTGACACGATAGTTCGCGTGGATATTCGGTTGTAAATGCTACTATCTCTTGTCGTATCCGATAGAATACGACCGTATTACGATACAAATATCAGTATAACAGACGTGTGTGTTTCGCCGTATATGACACGACGTCATACGACTGTAATTGTATCGTTCAAGGGTATTTTCGGCAATGTAAATGTTCATCTACGGTCATTTATGATCATCGTAATCATGGATATAGGTGCCATTGTTTTTCTCAATTAACAATTCTTCATAGAAAACATGTTTTATATTATATTTTTCGTCTATTTCTTAAGAAATATTAGTGAGCAGAAATGGATTTCTATTAAAAAATATGTAAAATCTATTTAAGAATGTTTACCCTAATCTTGATAATCTACGGTTGCAATTGTTCAGTTTTTAATATCATATTCTTTTTCTGAGGACTACCTATGGAAATATGCTATGATTTAAAATCTATTTTCAAATAATGTTTTTGCTGGTGTAAGATTATTTACCAAATGGCATATGATCAATATTGAAGCGATAAATAGCACAAAATCTTTATATAATATTATTAAAAATCAAAATATTTTCAACGAAATGCTCTATATATCGTTTGACGACTGATATTCTTATTGCAATAGAGTATCGAAAAATATTATTTTCATTTTAATAGAATTGACTCAGATTCAAGCAATGATGAGATTTAAATATCTAAATTCGAAACTTAACGAAAAAGAAACAGGTAATATTATAAGAATAATATGAAAGTAGAAAAAATTTTGTTTTTGTTTCTATAGTGAAATCCAAATAATAGCATCATCATTAGCAATGATGATGATTACATAAATTTTACAAGAGATCTTTCAATTACTATAGAACAATATGAATATGAGTTATTTATATATACTGACGAATGTTTATAATCAGTAAGTTATTTTTAAATTAAATTTCTCTTCGATGCATATTAGCTTTGTATTCATTTTTTAAATTAATCTTCATCTTATTCTATAACAGCTATGTCGTAATTAAATTCAATATAATTCCGACAAATCTACCATCGGTTTTGTCCTACAACAATGAATACTTTTTTCGAAAATTCGCTTCCTATTCTGTTCGATGATGGATTTCAGGACTGGACAGGATAGACATCTTGTAGAGCATATATATTACTCCAATGATATTGTACAATTAAGATTGAAAGAGCAGAACTTTTCTATTCATTCACATGAAAATATCGTTTTTATTTATTTGATATTGTCATTATTGATTCTTTTTTTCTTTTCTCTTCTTATATATCTATTAGAATTTGCTATCAACGGAATACAAAGATAGCTATATATGTTCGTTCTGTCTGATAACATAGTGTAACTTGTTTTATGTTTTTCAAAAGAAAAGAACACTATTATTTTAAAGTGAAGACAAAATGTCATTTTGATATTGGAAGGAGATGAAGAGCTCCTTCAGAACTGCTTTGTTGACAATTGTGTCTTGCCGTACCACAATATAGAGCAAAGCTGAAAAATTTATTTTTTGATCTTAGTCTGCAGACATATTGAATGGACGATACATGTCGATTATTTTTGCTCAAGAAAACTGAATTCTCTTTATTTTTTATATAATTCCAAATAGATAAAAAATTTTCTTTATATCAAGATATTAATTAAATATTACAGAAGTCATTAATTATTCGCACTATTTATCATTAAAAAAAAGAAATTCTTTTTTCTTCCAAGATATTATAATTTTTATTGCATGAATGAAGAAAGAAATTATTTTAACAAAAGCACAACATTAATTAATATTCAAATTTAAACATAAAAAGAATCGTATTTTTATTTGATAATAAAAAAAATGACCTGGAAACTTTATAGGTTCGAATAGATGTCAAATTGGCTTGATTGTTGATTTTTTTATATTTAAAACAGGAATATCTACTTGATTTCGACGTACTGAATACGTTACTTTTGATATTGTATTTGTTCGTCGTTTTAAACAAAGTAAAAAACGTAATTTTTGATAAACTTCTGGGAAACTCATCAAAGAAATAAAAGGTATAATTAAAGAAGTCAAATAAAATAGATATAAAAAGAGTTCGTCTTGTATCACAGATTCTCCGCCATCATAATTACTTTTTACAAATATATGCAATGACTCTGCAATTGCACTTGGTAATATTCCAATAAAGTATAATGTTGATATAGATATAATTTGTATTGTCATTCTTTTATGTCTATGCCATCTTATAATTTGATTGCGTTGTTTCTTTTTATAAACAATACGTATCAATAAAAATAAGCTAAAAGAAAATATAAGTATTGAACATAAAATTTTATGAATTAATAAATCTATTGATGATAAAATTATAACATGATGTATATAACATGCTCGATGACAAAATACTTCATTATAATCAAAATGTTCAATATTTGAACAAAATGGACTAATAATAATAGTAATAAAATAGAAAATCAATGTATAAATAATTAATATTATTATTGGAATATAATGAAAGATAAAACGTTTTAATTTGTTATTAAATATTTGACGATCATAAAAAATAAATAAATGACATTCAAATGATGCCCACATCATTAAAAATACTGATAAATTTGATAAAAATGAATTAATAAAATTCCATGCTAGACAAAAATTTAAATTATTTTCTTTGATAAGATTATTATTAAGAAAATAATATGCCATTGATAGATCAATTGTTATTAATAAACAATTGGTTATTAAAAATATTAATATAACATGATTTTGTAGAGCATGTCGTAGTTGTCGATTAAATATAAGATGATAAATTAAAAATATGTGACAAATTATTGATGGAATTTGAAATGGAATAAATATTCCTAATTTTATTCGATTGAATATTGACATTTTATATACGATGATTATATACGATTAATTTTCAACTGAGTAGAATAGATCTTAAAGTATATTAAAAAAAAACAGCAAAAACAAAAAAAGGAAGAAGATGATTAAGGTTTCTTGTTAATAACAATGTCAAAAACAGCTTTTTTTTTTGTTAAACATATACCTAATGACATTGTTAGATTTTTCTATTGGAGCTTCAGACTTGTTCTCATCATGTAGGTTCGAAAATATGCTTTTAATATATAAAAAAAATACCAAGGAAATTACCTAAGATATATCAATAGTGCAGATATTTGAAGATAAAATTACACAAAATTATTTTTATTCAAATAATTGTTGGCTAGTAAAAACTTTCAAAATAATCTTTACAAAATTAAATTTTGATAAGTGATTGAGCTATTCGAATTTAGTCTAAGAAAAATTAGCAATTTTTTGTTATAGTGAACATAATACAGATCTAATTCGATGTCACATTAAATCTCAATTCAGATATTCATTTAGCAAAATTTCAAAAGTCTGCATGTTAGAAATTAAAAAAGAAGAGATATATTTGTAAAAACAAGATTATTCGAAACTTCGAATCATAAATTATTGTTATTATAATATTCAATGATATGTTTAGAAACCTTGAGAATTAATGAAACTTTATTAAGTATAAATGATTAAGATAGTATGATGATTATAATATCTGGTAAATATAACGAATTCTGGATTTGTCATATACAAATAAGCTAGAATGTTTTGACACAGGAAAATCATGAACAAAAACAATCAATAACAGAAACAATCTAATGCAGCAGACATGCCTCAATATCTTTTTTAGCTTTACTGTGTGCTCTTTCTTCTCAAGATTATTAAATAGAAAAATGTACAGATATAAAACAATCTAGTATTTTCCATTATGATATCCATAATGAAATGGTAATGATATGAATTTAATTATACAAAAATAGTTGACAATATATTAAAATGTCTTTTTATTATCGTTAAATAGAACATGTCATAATTACATTGTCACTTCATATTACATAGAATTTCAACATTCTATTTGAATGATTTACTTAATCATTCAAATAATTCAACTCCTTCGTATTTAACATTGCATCTAAAAGGTAAGACATTTCTTAATGTAAGTTAGTTCAAAAATTATTTCCAGTAAGTATTTTGAGTTACAGATATTATGCATAGATAATAATAAAAACTTGTTGAAGTATAGATTTTATTTTATTATTATCGGTAGGTTTTTTTTCCATATATGTTAGATATGAATTTAGAAGAAATGTATTAAGAATTTCTTTATCAATGATTTCGATATTTTTGTTTCCTTCGACTAAGGTACGATTAAATTCTTTCAATTTTTTATACAAGAAAATATACTAGTTGCTAAGTTTTCGAGGCATTCTAACTATAAGACAACTGCAAGTATAACATATTACATTATTTATGTTTTTTAATTTGTTTTCATATTCTTTGTGATCTAAAATAAGTTTATCACGTGTTTCTCTTAACCGTTGGACGGTGAAGCCCGTAAATTTACGCTTTCAAAATTTCATTAGAGGGCGAAGCCGAAATATAGTAAAACGGGTCTTTTCAATATTTGTTACGTTCAAACGTAGATGCTACTGCTAATAGTATTGTATCTTTCAATCAAGTCTATTTCAAGAATTATCATTGCCAATAATTTTCAAAGTATGACGTGTTAACAATTAAATTTTTATTTTATTCGGTATAAAAATAAGTCTGCTGTCAAAAGGTTAAGACATTCCGATATCAATAGCTTAGAGAATTGTATTGCAAAAAAAACTATTAGCATAAATAGGATTAGAAAAAAAAATCATATAAATTTGTTTTCTTATTATGTTTATAAAATGTCTAGAATGGCACGAGCGAACTGATATCTTCATTAATATGTATTTTCTTTTATAGAGATTTGATTAGAAAATCTTTAGGAGGAATAGGAACACGAGCTCGCTTGTAAAAATATCGAAAATATTGACAGTGTATTGTCATTCAACTCTTACTGACAAATATAGAGAAATAACTCATTCAACTTCAACTTGTATAGATTAAAAAACTTCGAGAGAAAATAAACATTCAAAATAGCTGTATGCCATGGACTTGTTTTTTTCCATATGATTTAGAATCCATAAACATTTTCCCCGGTATTCTATAAAACCTAATAATCTTCCTATTTTAAGAATACTCTTAAGAGCTGATTGAATCTACTTCATGGAGAACTTTCCAGATCAAAAAATCTTTTATCCAGTTTTCTTGCTAATGTTCATCCTATGGTAAAAATCCAGCAAAACTATTGTGATACTGTAGCGAAAGATTATAGAGGTGAATTGTTTTGAAATTATTCTAGTCTAGAAATTCTCTCTATATATTCGAAATATGAGCCCAAAAGTAATAAATCATTTCAAGCGATTCTCTCGTAAGTTTATATTATTTAATTGTTAAGTAGAACATATTGTACTTTATAGAATTGCTCATTCAATCGTTTAAAACAGAAAGTAAAAAATAATAACATGAAAATAAGACAGATAACTATATAGAAAAAAAAGAATCTTTTCGAATCACACTCGATCATGAATTTTAATAGAAATCTGAATGTATTTGGACATTTTTATGAAACTTTTTACAGAAAAAAAAGAAAAATTTTTTCTAGATAGAAGAATAGATATTCTCAAATATTTTAATTTTATAGTCTCAAGACTAATTAATACTATATTTATCGTTAACAATAGAACACATAATAGGCAACAGTGTTACTCTTATATCAGGCGATTATATTCAATGTAGAATATGAAATATTATACCTACCTAGGTTAGAGAAAGCCGATATATCTGTCTATGACATGACAAAATTATAAAAACGCTATTCTAAGGTATAGTCAAGAGCATGTTGATCGAAAACATTTTATATCTCACTATCTATGGATATAAGCATAGTTTATTTTATGTTTAATTTCATGCATGCCAGAGATTTATCAAATATATATTCAACAAGAAAATAATATTATAATCATTTTAATTTATAACAATTGAGAATAATAATAAAAAAAGATTAAATTTTATAAATATTTGAAATTCAAAAAGTAATATTTTTCAGTTAATAAATTACACTATTCAAGATAAATATTTTTAGATTAAGAAATCTTCTTGTCTGATAAATTTCAAGACTATTCTCTAATAATTATAAAATATTAACAGATAATTAATGATGATTTGTAATGGAAATGGATAGAATATTCTTCTACTATTTGTTATTTACAGTAGGCATGAAAAATGCAAAAGATAGTTTTTATCTGTTATATTCTACATTTTAATTAGTATTCATTCTATAATGTTTTAGATTTACCTGAGAAAAAGATATTAGACCTAATTGAATATTAATAATTGTTTGAAAAGAACAAATAATAGAAGTGTCTAGAATTGAATATAATAAAATATACACTCTTGAATTATAGAGTTTTACTGATATTTAGAAAAAAAGGGATATAATGTAAACAACCTCACCAAAATTCACTTAAATGACAATATGTCATCATTGATATCTTTCATTAATTATGAAAAAATATTCATACAATTACATTCAAATCCTCTTATATTTTAATGAACTAATCCATCATTATTCGTTTGTAATATAGTCTGGTCTTTAAGGTAATATCTTGTCGATAAGTATGTATCCAAATAGAAAGATTGCTTTTTAGTTTATATTTTTTATGTTGTAAAAGATTAAATGAAAATGCATGTCTATGAATAGATTTAATAAGTTTTTCCTACGCGTTACTGTGAAAAAAAAACTTCTTGTTGTCTCAATAAATTATTTCACAGTTATAAAAGCAATTACTATTTTTCAGTGAATTGTTTTTTAAAATGTTCACTTAATTCATTCATTTAAATTATTGATAATAGATATTTAAAATTTCTATGTGGTCTTTGAAAATATTAAAAGTTACATTTTATTTCTTAATAGTACTGTTATTGTGAGATTGACTCATATTATACTGACATATTTTTGATTAGATTTTTTTACATGCAAAAGTTCAAATACATCTTTTAGAAGTACTCGATTTTATTTTGATTTAAGACATAAAAGAAAACAGAAACTATTTAGAATCATAAGAAAAAAATTCATCAATATTAATATGAGAATACATAGAATAAAGAAAGTAGTAATAGAAAAAATAAGGAAGAAATGCTTTTTTTTAAATATTTTTGAATCCTATAAGTGTTAAGAGATTTAATTATCATCATAAAGAAGGTTTAATACAAAAATTTAAGCTGAGGATATAGTTTGACACAAGTCAATATTTAGATGTTATATTTAAACAACCGGAGGCGTATAAGTCAATGATTAACAAAAGGAGTTTTACATACTAGAAAGATGAAGAGTCTTTTTATCATTTTACATAGCTCCTCTAATTGCTTTGAACACTTGTTTGACAAATAATCCTCTCCATTTAAGTATTATTATCCGGTATTAATCGTTCATGATTTATGACTTTCTTCATCATTTATCTAAAGATTTTCTAAACTCATGAGCACTTGCATTTGAATTATTCAAACGGGAAATCATTATCGGATTTTTTTTTGAAAATGCCAACCACTATTTTTTGAATAACTTTCGATAATTTCTAGATATTGAAGTCGAGTTTTCGCTATTAGATGAAGCAATGATGAAGGCGTCTATGTGTATAACATTCATTAAATTCGAGAAAGTTTTTCGCGAATATTTTCAGGTGAACATTTTTTCCGTTGTCCATTCATACAAGTTTTCCTAGCAACCTAAGCTCAAATTATACTAAAATGTGGCCCAAAGTAAGCCGTATTATGCATAGAATTTCCAAATATCAGAACACTTCTCTTAAAGCATGGTTTCATGGTAAGGATGGAAAAATCGAACAATTATATAGGGAATACAATACTTTTCGGGCTACATTTTAGTATAATCTGAGCATTGGTTGCTAGAAAACTTGTAGAAATAGACATCGAAAAAAATGTTCATCCTATATTATTTTCCTTATGTTTATTTAATCCATTGAAAGATTATAAAAATAGTTTTTATTATGTTTCAAAAGAACATGCCATAGGTTTTTTTATCAACATCCTGTATAATTTCAATTAATAGAATAATCAAATTTTTATACTGTCTCTTTCATTTTTATCGTTATATATATTGATCGATTTATTCAAGAATAAATTGAATAACAATTTTCAAAAATAATGTTCTTTTTTTATGAACATTTCAAAATTTTTTGCTCGTTCTAGTATAATTAACTTTATTCATAAATTATTCATGTATAATAAAACAAAAAATAAAAAGAAGAAATTAATAATATTCCGGATAAGATGTCATATTCTATTATCTATTGTCGACATTAATAAAATCGATAGTAACAAAGAATTAGTTTAATTCATGATTTTTCTTTTATTTAAATTCAAGTTTAATTAAATCTTTCATCATCATACATTTCACCTGTATTTTGATTAATCATATTAAGTCGTATTGTTATTTCTTCATGTATTGGTAAAATTTTCTCATGAATATCATCGACTAATATTTCTAGATATTCTGTATTATTAAGATTATTTTTCAAAAAAACTATTACTTGGCCATAATTATTTGTACACATCTCTTGATAAAGTTTTCCTTCTAATTCCATTCGAATAGATAGATTTGCTATAGGATTCCAGCGATAATCAACAATTGTTATTAAAAATTTTCTTTTATTATTCGATGTAATTTGATATAAGATACTAATTAATAAAAATAAAATTACAATAAATATTACTATTATTCGTCGAATTCTTATAGTCATCGTAATGGAAAAGTAATGCATTTTACTTGTTTCTTTTTTTGCTGTAGTATTTTCAAGTGTCACCCATTCCTTTTTCTTTTTGTACAATTAACGACAACTTTTTCATAAAGAACAACGAAAGTAAGGTATAGTCACGTCTGACAAGACTCAAATTTCACTGACAACATGGCAGACAACACATGATATGTGCACATAACGCAAAATTGGAGTGGATTTTATTTTTCATTGGTATATATATATATATATACACGGTTGCATAGAGCTTGAATAGATGGTTACGAACGTATATTTTTTATTTCAATGAGGTGATACTCCTTTGTTGCAAAAAGCTCCAAATACTTATACGATTACAGATATAAACAAAATCACTTTTTTTTCTCAAATCAACTCTTAAATTTCTATAATCTTTTTTTTCTAATTCAGCATCGAAAAACTAAGTAGAAAAATATTATTTTCTGAAATTTTGAAATAAATAACATAAAAACTGCCGTCAATATACAGTAGTCGTCAAAAGTATCCAATCAATAGCTAATTTTATTTTGTATATATCACAAAAACTAGACGAGTCAGAATGACCTAGTTTTTATCGAATTATAGTTCAGAGTACGCAGTATACTAGTAAAATGTTTCAGACCAATCCATTAATAGCTTTTATTGACGATATAATTGCAGCATGTTATTTTGCATTCTTCGAAAATTATCGAACCATTTTTTTTTTGCAAATTGATGCGCGTCTATTATTCTACGTTGAAATTTTCTTTAATTACATATTATTCAATAGAATCATACATCGTCGAGTCTTGACAAACTATGTAGGAGAATACCTTGCTTGAGTACTTCTTTTATTATAGTCGTGACATACGGAATGAATCGTACTAATTAGAACAAATTATTCTTTACCTAAGAAGTACTTATGATCATTGCCTTCCTTTGAATGGGGATTTAATAATGATGTTTTTCTTTTTATCGATATTACAAATTTTCAAGGACAAAGCAACAGGAGATGTGTCGTTTATTTAGTGTGTTTAGCCAATTTAGTATTCAATATAGCATTAAAGAGAGTATTATAAATTACATGAGATATTCTATTTTAATTAATAGTTAATGTTAGAAAATTTGTCGTTGTCATCTCTTATGTATAGAACAATCATAGATAGACCTTATTGTTGCCTCTTATTCACACATTGAAGAAGAGATAAAAGATTGTGAATTTCTTCATCCATACAAAACTCTTATATTTGAAATCAAAACCGATTATATCTCACTTTAGTTATATACTTTTGTTATGTTATTAGCAGAATTAACAAGTTCACAATAGTTCTTGCAACAAACAGAATATGTATCTTACCAAACCAAGATATATCAAATGAAACTTAACATAGCGTGTTGTTTGATATTTCATTCTCTATCTACATAGACGTGACGTGTAAAAATTAATTATGCATTTCATGAGATGTCCACTAAGACTGTTATTGAAACTACAGAAGGCTATTAATTATGTGATTTATAACGTAATAAAGGTCTATAGCTTAAGTGATATAATTGTTCGTTTTTTAATTTCAAATATAAGAGTTTTGTATGGACAAAGAAATTCACAAACCTTTATCGCTTCTTCAATGTGTGAATAAGACGCAACAATAAGGTCTATCTATGATTGTTCTATACATAAGAGATGACAAAGACAATTTTCTAACATTAACTATTAATTAAAATAGAATATCTCATGTAATTTGTAATACTCTCCTTAATACTATATTGAATATCAAATTGGCTAAATACACTAAATAAAAGACCAGTCTCCTGTTGCCTTGTTCTTGAAAATTTGTGATATAGATAAAAAAAAATGTTGTTGTTAAATCCTTTTTCAAAGGAAAGCTATAATAAGTACTCCTTATGTAAAGAATCATTTGTTCTATTGAATCATGCATAATTAAAAAAATTTCTACATAGAGCACCAGAGACGTACCAATTTGTAAAAAGAAAAGAAGTTGGATAATTTTGAAAGGATAAAAACAACATGTTGTGATTATATCATCAAATATAAATCTATAAATAAACCAATGGATTGATCTGAACTTTTTTAGACAGTATATTAAAGACTATGAACTGTAATTTGATAAAAACTAGATTATTCTGGCTAATCTAGTTTTCATGATATATACAAAATTAAATTAAATTGTCTATGGTAAAATAATTTTGCTGGGGATTATATGTAGGCGTATAGAATCTGTTTATCGGCATTTTTATAAACCTATCTAGTTTTTTTTTGTAACAGAAGATTAGATCAAATATCTTATTTCATTTGAATCAGCCAATTTCGAGTTATAAAAGTAGCCATTGATGGTTTTCTTTTTAGATTTTGTTTTATTGTTGAGAAAATCGAACATTTCTTCGTATTCATAGTAAAATTGACAAAGAAATAATCCTGTTTAGTGCAGTTTCTATTATGAAAACTCAGTTGAAAATTAAAATAAACAGCATATTCAGAATCATCATGAAAATCTATACTGAGTTTCATATATTTCAACAAATTTTGTATTAAATAGAAAATCGATCATAGGCAATATTTCATAAGAAAAATGCTGAAAGGGATTACAAGTGTGTTTTCCGTAGAAAAGTGATTTTGTTTAAATATATATATGTCCCGAGGTAAATTTTCATACTGATTCTGAATATGTTATTTATTTTTCTTTTCAAGTGAATTTTCATAATAGAAACTGCAATAAATAAGACTATATTTGGTTCTTTTATTATTAAAACTAGGAAATGTTCGATTTTTTCAACAATGATATAAAATCCGAAAAAACTAAATGAATACTTTTATAACTCAGAGTTGGTTAATTTAAATGAAATAAGCCATTTGATCTAATCTTCTGTCACAACAATCGAGATAGATTAATAAAAGTTCCTATAAACACATACTATAAACCTACATATATTGATAGTAGTTTTTTTTTTATGTTAGATATTTTAAACCTAAGAATATAATACTTTTCTACTTAATTTTTGACACTGAATTAGAAAAAAAGACTATAGAAAGTTAAGAGTTGTTTTGAGAAAAAAAAGTAATTTTGATTATGTCTGTAATCTTATAAGTATTTGAAGTTTTTTTCAACGAAAGCGTAACATCTCACAGAAATAAAAAGCATATATTTATAACCATCAATTGAAGCTCTATGAAATCATATATATATATACATAAACCAACGAAAAATAAAATCCACTCCATTTTTGGATGATATGTACGTTACATAAAGTCATACCTAAAACTGCTTAATTAGTTGAAATTCAATTAAAAACAAAACTGTTTCTCGAAAAACAATACATCTATTTTATTCTCCGAAGAAAAAGAACGTTTGACATTTTTCTTCGGTCAACTTATGTACATATTAAGATATGTCAAGAGTTATATATTATTCGACTAGATATTTTGATTGATCATCGACATATTTGTATAAATTTAATTATGCACAAGTGAATAATATAATATAGTCATACTAAAATTCTGATCATACGTTCGAATAATTGATAAATTTAATTTGATATTTCACTATGAATCTATAATTTAGAACAAAATATTACAATAACTTCCAGCAATATACATATATGTACATGTATTTATATATTCTTATTATCAATTTAAGTTGTATTTGATATGTTAGCCTTTCTTTTTTATAATTTTTTTTCTTTACTAATAAGTCGAACAAAAATAAGGAATTCCTATTTATGCACGAATGCTTGCTTATTTAAGTATGTCATCAAAGTGTCGACAATCTCTTGTGTTACATATATTCATTTAACCATAAATAATTATATATCGAATATAGAACTGTGAACAATTTTTAAGTTAGTTTTTTTTGGTATCATCAACAGTTCCTTATAGGTTCTTTTTTTTTGAGTCGATCTATGTATATTCTTCATAGCAATCATTTGCGACATACACGCATATAGACAATAACTACCACGTCAGTTTTTTTTTCCGGAAACGCTAATTCCTTTTTCTCATTCATTTTCATCAAGACTTAAAAAGGCGAAAGTGCGCTCATATGTATGTGTAAATGCATATGATCTCATTGAAAATAAAGAGAAAGCAAATGAGCGCATGTTTAACCATCCGGACAAAAAAAAACGATCTTCTTTTAAGCTACGTGCTTTCTTATTGAGAAAAGATTCTTAAAAGCATTTTCTTGTTGAGCAGTTTTAGGTCAATAAACATTGACGATTAGTAGGAATATTATGAGATTATTTTTTTTTAATATTTATAAGATTTTTTTTTTTCTTAGACGATCAAAATCAATATATCATTCTTTTTTTGTCTATTGATGTTTCAACTTGACATTTGTCATTTATGAAAAAAATAAATGTTCGTAAGAGGGTCGTTCTTCGTGCGTGTTTCTATTTTGACACATTCAATAGTAAGTTGATTTAATGAAGAAAACGGATACAAAGCTTTATCATTAGATTCCGTATGATGTAGTATTCAACTTTTTTTCTTGTCGTGTTCCTAAAAAGTTAACCAAGCATAAATTCGATATTATCTTTCTTTCTTAGACAATAGGACTCAAATACAACGAAGATGGCAAAAAATGAAGGCTAAAAATGTCTTTGATGTTAGTGTCTTTGTTTCTTTTTCTGGTGCCGTGTGAATATTCTCTCTCTCTCTCTCTCTCCTTATATATATATTTTTCTTTCTTCTCCTATATATTGCACTTTCTCTTTTTCTTTCTTTATGTCACTTCATAACTTATATTATTATTTAATATATAGATATATGTGTAAACTTTCAATGGCATACGTTTTAATAGCAATCGATTGGATTTGTGTTATTTTATTTATTCTTGGTTTTATTGGTAATCTTCTTGGTCTTATAGTTTTTTCATCACGTCGTTTTCGTTGTTGTTCAACATATGCTAGTTTAGCATTAGCATCATTTTCAATAAATTTAATATGTGTTATACGTTATACATTATTACTTCATTCAACAACACGACGATGGTTAT